AGAACAGGCAATTTAGAAGAATCCAGATTTCCCCCTTCAAGGGAAGAGGGTAAGGCTTCAAGAGTAAAGGGTAACAGAGCTTTGTTCTTCTTTTCACCCTGTGTCAGCCATTGCTTTTGCTGCCTGTAAACGACATCATCTTCTGGCTGGTTCCCTCTGTTAGAAGCAAAAGATGGGGCTGTGCTTTCCAAAATACAGTTTCCATCTAAGTATTACTACTGGGTCACTGCTCTCTGCAGCTCATTTCTACAACCTCAGTTTTAATTATAGTTCCACATCTGTTCCTTTAAATCTGTTTGGTGGACTGCTTTATTTTGCTCTGGTTGATTGAATAAAATACATATTTATAAAAACTAAAAGGGCATAATTTGCTTAACGTCTACTTGATGGAGTTGATCCCTGTTCTTGAAGTTTTCATTTAAAGGTCTGCTGAGGTCACTTTTACTTTTATTACGACTAAGCAACCAAGTAATGAAAAAAGAAATTGTACAAATCATAATAAAATTGAATTGACTTTTTGGGGGAAGGGAAGGGGTGGAAGGGACCTTTCAAAGCTAAAGGCACAGTATCTCCAGGGCAAGTTAGGTTAAAACAGGTCTTTTACAGTCGACTGCTAATCATTGGGAACTTGTGCTCTGAAGTCAAGTATAATTTTCTCTGGATTATATGACTGAAGAGATCAGAGTTCATTATTGCTTCAGATAAAGGGTAGATAGTTCTGCTATGCTGCAGACAAAGAGAAGAGGTCTCCAGTTATCTTCCACCATTTCAAAACTAACCCCAGAAGTGTCTCTGCACTCTAATTAGTCATGTACCAAAGACATTTTTCTCTTAGAGGCAAAAAGGGCAAAGGAATGTGAGTTGCTGTCAGCTGTGCCTGTGAAGGCTTTAATGAATCAGTGGGGTTATTGAGTTATAAACAGGGGACACTTTCTGATATCTGGAAATTGGTTTTGTTTCTGTTACTCCCTGAATGTGGAATATCTGCATTTTACCTCTTGATTTTTCAAGTCTCCTGTTTGTGACTGCTGATTTTGATTCAGGTTTACAGTTTTCACTGGCAGCCAAGAAGGGACGTTACTTTTCTCATTAGAGGCTGAGAATGAAAATGAAATGGCCACCTCTTTGGTGTACTCCAGAAGAGGGTGCTCAAAGCTCAGAAACGAGGTGCACATCTTATCCTTTGGCAGCTGTGTAAATCATGTCTGCAAGGATTTCACCTTCCCTTCAGCCTCCAGCTGTAATCTCAAATCCAGATCTACCATTGTCACACTGAAACAGCTATTCCCCCCTGCAGATTTGTTCACAACTGCCAACATATGTTTTACTGTTTCAGGAAGGATTAAACTAAGGCTGGACAAAACTTCTTAGAATTATGCTCCACGTGGTCATTCATCTTGGATCACAGAGGGTTATTCCAGGCTGGTGCAGGAAAAAGAAATATGGAAATAATTGCACACCTCACATTGCAACACATTTTTCGAAGATTAGAGCTGACATTACATTAGAAAAAAAAAGGACTGATCTGAGCCAGA